GAGTATCGTCTCCTTAAGGAACGACCACTCATCTTGTGCACTGAGTTCCCCTGCCCTCGAGAACCCCAGCGCCTCTCCCACCAATCTCCTCAACTTGTTGAAGTTGGCCCTCTTGAAGTCTAGGGCTACCGCCTTGCTGCAGGCCCTTGACACCCTGCGCTGGATGATGAATTCCAGCAAGCGATGATCTCTGTCACCCAGGTGGTCAAGGACCTGGAGCCCCCTTACCAGATCATCGCCTGTGGCCAGGACCAGGTCCAACAGGGCATTTCCTCTGGTGGGACTGGGCACCTCCTGGGTTAAGTGGAGGTCCTGTATCTCTGCCAGGAACCTCCTGGAACGGTCCGACCTGGCTGACTGCTCCTCCCAGCAGATGTCCAGATAATTTAGATCACCCATGACAACTACATCCCTTGCCTTAAGTGCCTCTGCAAGCTGGCCTGAAAATTCCCGGTCCAGCTCCTCCCCTTGGTTGGGGGGTCTGTAGTAGACCCCCATCATTAAATCCCTCTCCCCACAACCCCCTTGTATCTTGACCCAGAGCACTTCAGCTTGTCCCTCCTCCAACCCATTTTGCTAGCAGAGGATGTGTATTGCTCTTTGACATAGAGCTCCACACCCCCTCCCTTCCTTCCTTCTCTATCCCGCCTGTAGAGCCTATAGCCCCTAATGCTAACTGCCCAGTCGTGGGATGAATCCCACCACATTTCTGTTTCTGTAAGCCCACTTACGTTTCACGTTTCTGTAAGCCCACTTCTGTGAGAGTGGTCGTCCTTCTTCTCACAAGCCTAGCTTTTTGTTCATTCTTACCAATTCTATCAGAAGAATTTTTACTTATGGGTCTCATATTAAAAACTCAAGCAATCAGAGAGCATGTGATTTCAGTAACCAGTCCTTAATGATCAACTAATAAGCAACTTAAGGACTTTCATCTGATAATCACCTACTCATCAGCCAATTTGAGAACGGCACAAAGATAGAAGGCATCATCACTGAAGAGAAGGGTAGGAATGATGGCAAGAGTTGGTTGTCCTTCAGAAATGGAGTATTACAAATTTAATTAAATGTAATAAAACAAAAATACAAGGACATATGCTTAGGGATTAATATAAAGAATTCCTGCTGTAAATTAGGAAGAGAAAGTGCTGGGTGTATCAAGTCAACCACAGAATCATACTGAGACACCACTATGAAGCAGTTGTGAAAAAAAACAGTCCAATCTTAGCATGTGCCAGGTGAGGTATTTCCAGTAGAGATAGGAAAGAATTAATGTCATTTTAAT